CTCGATCGCAAGTTTTCATAGCCTGAACAGTCACTCAACATGCACTATCAAACTCCCAAGTTCCTAGATTCAAAAATTGTCAATGAGATTTACACAAGACAAAGTACTTCCTAAAGTTGTGCCCGTTAACAAGCCACAATTTTAGGAAACGTACGGGCCACTACAGGAGCGCCCAAATTCATCCGACTAGAAATGTTTCTAGTACTTTCTACTCTATTTTTTTCGCGGTCAATAGCTGGGCAAAGTACTGGTGGTTTAACAGGAGCAAGTGTCTCTGCTGGCAACTTCGCATTATCTTGACCTTCATTATAGATAGAATCCTGCTCACATCCACACTGACAAGAAGTAGGAAACTCCCTCCTCACTCACCCCTCTGGCATGGCGAGAAGAAACAAAGCGCCTAATCATTGCCTCAGGCTACGCAACAGATCTCGCCAAGACTTTGCGCTATTGGCCTATGCCCTGGCCTACTGGCAACTGCACAAAACGCTCGGGCATTCACACAATATTCCTTGGGTCCTGCATGGCAAGGTCCCAAGAGCTGAATCCACAAAGGAGGTTCTTGATAGACAGCTCTGGGGAGTCCGGAATGGAGAGTCCACAAGATGCTCCAGCATATCGTTTTGAATATGTGCACGGGAATGCATGTGCATGCACACGCACATGCACACACACACACACATGCACACACACACGTACACACAGACAACCCCACACACAAACACAGACATACACACACACAGACACACACTCTGCTAGGATTAGAAGGATGTACTTCTCTTATGGGTGTAACTGACTTCTGATAAGGCGGCGTGTTCAAAGAGACCAGTCACATGCATCCTAGAGAGACTCTTCTCATTACACCTCCAAATAAATTGGTGACAATCTGACAAAACTGCAATGACAGACATGCATTTGTTAAGGAGTTGTTTTTAGCGTACACGAAAATGCACGTGCGAGCGCCCACACACATACACCCCGCAATCCCCAAGCGGAGTGCTTAACACGTGAGCTAAGTCCCTGATCGATTGGTCCCAAGAGCCGCTAGGCGAACAAACACACGCGCACGCACACACACACACACACACACACACACACACACACACACACACACTTAACATGTCAGCTAGGTCCCTGATCAATCACCCCCAAGAGCCACTGGGCGAACACATGCGCACACGCAGATGCACACACACACGCATGCGCACACGCACACACACAGACACACACACACACACACACACACACACACACACACACACAC